TCGTATCACTGCACCACCACATTTGGCTTTTACAAGAATATGAATATGTATGTATGTATATATAAAAGGTACTATATACTTAGGTTTATTAAAATAAGGACCATGGAAGTGAAATACTTAAAATAATTAATATAAATGTAGTTTTCTTCCTTGAAATACTTTCTTTAAAAACTGACACATGCATCAATCCCCTTGGCTATCAAGTTCCATTTCTATAGTATAGGCATCCAAGGCTGGCTTTATATCCGTAACCTTCAAACCATCAGTGATGTGTCCTGATAGTTATTTTCTGTTTTCTTTCTTATGTGTGGTACGTGTGCATGTGGAGGTCAGAGAGCAACCTTGGTAGTCTGCCATTAATCGTCACTGTCTCATCTTGAGTACTTACAATCTTCTGTGGCTGACAAGACTTCAGACAAGCTTCCATGCCTGACTACTGGCTTTGTGATTTTGTCTCATGTTACTCCCAAACATTACTGATGTGCAACATAACCCTGAGCTTTGGAATTGTGATGGTGATACCTGCAGGGGTCTTGTTCAGTGTATCTGAGAAAATTAAGCTGGGCAGTGGTGGTGCACGCCGTTAATCCAGCACTTAGGCGGCAGAGGCAGGCAGATCTCTGAATTCAAAGACAGCCTGGTCTACAGAGCGAGTTCCAGGACAGGCAAGGCTACACAGAGAAACCCTGTCTCGAGAAAACAAAACAACAAACAAAAACCAACCAACTAAACAAACAAACAAACAAACAAAAAGGAAATCACCTCTAACTCCAATTCTACAAACACATATACCTCATGACTTCCAGGAATAAAACCACACAAAGTTTATCCACGACTTCCTCTTGGAGAAATTACACATGTGCAAATTCTAACAGCTTGATTATCCTGAGAGAATCAATTCTATACTTTGGGAGCTTTTCATACACACTATTCTCTACCCAAATGACAGTCATAAATCTACCCAGCATCTACCTCTAAGGTAGATGAAGTAGTTAGACAGCAATGGTGTCTTATAAACCACAGCACTGGTATTTCAGGTTCTATGTGGGCAAGCACATTTAAGTTCCTTTTTAAATATATATCTCAAAAGGGGTGCTGGTGAGATGGCTCAGAGTATCGAAGGCAAGCTTGATGACCTGAGTTTGAACTACAGATCCACTGTGGAAAGAGAGAATTGACTCCTGTAAGCTGTCCTATGACACATGTCCCATGGCCTGTGTGTGGTCCATATATACACATGTATGTGCATATGTATACATACACACACAAATAAACAAATCTCAAAATAATCCCCTCAACTTATTGATAACGATTTTGCATTTCCTACTTATTCTTTAGTCTTTACTTCTCTTTAAAAATTTTAAGCCAGGCAGTGGTGGCTCACGCCTTTAATCCCAGCACTCGAGAGGCAGAGGCAGGTTGATCTCTGTGAGTTTGAGGCCAACCTGGTCTACAAAGCTACACAGAGAAACACTATATCAAAAAATCCTCCCCTCAAAAGATGTTTAAAATGATTTTATTATGTGTATGAATGTTTTGTCTGTCTTCTGTCTGTATGTATGTGTACCATGTGTGCCTAGTGCCTGTGAATTTCAGAAGAGGGCATAGGATTCTTTGGAACTGAAGTTACAGTTGGTTGTAAGCTGTAATTAGGTGCTGGGAGCTGAACCTGGGTCCCCCACAAGAGCAAAAAATGCTCTCAAGTGCTGCATTATCTATCCAGTCCATTTACCTCTCTTTTGAAATGTTTCTGTAATAATTCCTTTGGACCTACAAAACCTCAGATGTCTCCACTTTAGAAAGTTTTGTGCCGAACATTCCCTCTGCTACTCCGTCCTTTCCAAGATTTGCTTGCCTTTCTCTTGGGCTTTCAGGATCCACCGGGACTCTGCTTATTGCTCTTGGCAATCCAACTACTTCCATATCTGGGAAGAGACTGAGGAGAACTATTTCTATAAGGCTTCCGAGGTGTGATAAATGCACACTGCTGATAAATCTGCTCCTAGTTACTAAGGGTAGAAATGTAACGGTTGGAAAAAAAATCATAAAAATCTATGAGGAGTCTTTCTTTAGACTGCTTTGCCAAGTACTTTTATATATTTGCTGCACTTTATTGTAAAACTTTTTTTTTTTTTTTTTTTTTCTGGAAAGAGTCTTGCCATATAGCCTGTGCTGGTGTGGACTTCGTGATCCTTCTGCCTTAGCCTCCTGAGTGCTGCTTGCTGCACTTCAAAGAAAATGACACTGGGAACTGCAGAGATCACATACATTACATCTATATCTAGGCAAGAAAAATAACTAGGAATTTAGATTAGTCTATCCAACTAAAGAGGCTTCGTTTTTGATCAGACATTTAACCTAACCATGTGTTGGTTTATTGTGGCATGGGTGTGTGGTATATGCATGTATATTTGTAGGTATGTGTGTGTACTTGTGCAGAGGCCAGAGGACCATGATGGATGTCCTTTTCTATCACTCTATGTCCTAGTCTCTCACTGAATCTGAAACTCACTGGTTTCTGTTAGCCTGGCTGGCCAGCAAGTCTCCAACACTGGTGCTACAGATGTGCATGGCCACTTGTGGGCGCTGGTGATTTGAATCCAGGCTCTCACGTGTACCAAGTATTCTCAGCCACCAAGCCACCTTCCTAGCCTAGTGCCTTCATTTCTAAAAAGTGACCCCCCAACAAACTTTTAAAATGAACAGAATTACCACTCCTGGTCACTTCAGAAAATGGTGCCTGCACTTTAACCCCGAGGATCCACTGCCACACGACAGCCTACTCAGATTCCATATCATCTACCTCCTTTCCTCATGTGAACACATCAATTCCGGATCACTCCTAAAGATGTTAGGCAATGGCCAGCCTACTTTTTGAGGGGTTCCACTGGTTTACTGTTCATTCTCTATTTAGGCCTTTCTGCTCTTCCTCTGTTTCAAGGCTTTGCAATAGTTTCTTATACAAAACAAACCAGTTTCAAAGCAATGTTACGGAACTGTGTCAAAAAATTTTACTAGGTGCAATTTATATAGAACAAAATACACTTCACATAGCCACATAACCACCAGTGATGAAGACTTGAAGTATTTTCAGCATTTCTTCTCTCTCCCTTTCCTCTTGTAGGTAATCGATCCTTACCCCCTTTCTGGCTGCAGATAACCAAGGGTCTGCTTTGAGTACAGACATGAAGAACTGTATATACACAGAACCATACAATTTGTACTTTTTCTTTCATTTGAGCTCATCCATACTGTTGATTACTTAATACTTTGTTCCTTTTTGCTGCTGAGTAGAATTCTATTGCATAAATTACATTTATTTATCTAGTCACTTTTGACAAACATTTTGGCTGTCACCAGATTGGGTTTATTATGACTAAGGCTGCTATGCATATTCATATTCAGGTCCTCTGTGAACAGATGTTTTCTATCTTTATACATTTATTGAGACAAGGTCTCACTATGTAGCCTTGGCTGGCTTGGAATTTGGTATATAGACTAGACTGACCTTCACCTTACAGAGATTCAGTTGCCAGCTATTTTATGTTTTGGAGACAGTGTCTCTCTCTGTAGTCCAGGCAGGCTTAGAAATCACACTATAACCTTAATTGGCCTAGAACTCACAGCAATCCTTCTAAAATTCCCAAATATTGGGATTACAGTCTTTTGTTACCATACCCACCAATATATTTTCTTTTCTTTGACTACAAATCTAGGAATAAAATTCTCAAGTTAAATGCTAAGCATGCATTTAACTTTGAAAGCAGATGGCAATTCTGGATTTCAACATGAGCATCATATTATTTCTATGAGCATTATATACACACATATACATACATATGCATGTATATATATATATTAAAGAGAGTGCTATTTGTTTTACACATCCACAGCTGGGAATAGTGGCCCACACCTTTAATACCAGCTTGGTCTACAGAGTGAGTATAGGACAGCCAGAGCCATATATAGACACCCTATCTTGGAAAAACAAACAAACAACAAAAACCCACCAAAACCTAAAACCTCAGACCCAACCAACCAACCAACCAACCAACCAACCAACCAACCAACCAACCAACCAACCAACCAAAAACTGCCACAAATCAGTCATTTATGTACACACATAATTTGTCATTCACATATCCTTATTGGTTTATCAATGATGTCCACAATCTACTAAGTTTGTACTATGTATTCCACACATTTCCCCGCTCTGCATTTAACTACAGAGCACACCCAAAGTTTTCACTGAGGTATTTCTTTCATATCAGCACAAGCTTTTAGGAAATAGAGTGGAATTCACTGTTTGTAGGTTTAGAACTATGTCCTCAGAAAAAATATTATTGAACACTTAGCTGTATTTATAGCTTTTCAAACATTAGCTGTACCCAGTTCCTAAAAATTTGCACTAATGCATATTTTTGGCATATTATTCTTCATGAAGGCTTACATTTCTACCATTTGTTTTTGATATGAGAATACTTGAAAATACATCTTTAACACGTATTCTTTAAGGCACATATGGTCTATGAAGCCCTTTTTACTGCATAACTATGTATTGAAGTCCTGAAAATACAGATGCTCAAAGTCCATTTCTCCTTTTAGAATCCTATGCTTTAGTTACTTGTCAGCTTTCCCAAGATTGTATTTCAGAAAGTTTTTTAAAATTTATTTTTATTTTATATATATGAGTGTTTTACCTGCAAGTATATTTGTGTACCATGTGTGTGTCTGGTGCCTGCAGAGGTCAGAAGTGGGCATCATATCTGGAACTGGAGTTACAGGTCATAAACTGCCATGTGGGTGCTGGGAGTGGGAACCAGGTCCTCTGCAAGGGCTTCAAGTGCTCTGAACTGCGGAGCCATGAGAAACTAGTCTGCGCATGCAAACGGTTTGATATTTCATGTGCAAACAATGAACACTGTTTTAATTTTAGGAAATGTACAATTACTGCACCAACACCAGGTGTTATGATAACCCTAATGCAAGCATTTGCTCACCTTGACGAACTCCTTTCTTTCAATCATCTCATTGCCATCTGCATCCAGCATTTTAAAAGCAACATGGAACCCAGTGTGAGGTTCTGCAAGGAAGGGATCAATGAACAGTTATTTAGATGTTGGCAAAATGCTAAGTATTTGTAGCTAGAAAAACTTTCAAATTTAAAATAAATGACCAAAAACTATATAAGCAAGAGCTAGACAGAGAAAGGGATGTTCATCTTTCCCTGCCCCCCTCTCTCAAGGGTAACCATGATTTTTCTCTCTTTTACAGACAACACTAATAATGATTTTTCGGTTCAGTAAATGTTCTGTCTCAGGATGCCACAGTGTGTGGGGTAGAAGAGCACATGTAATTGAACATTATCATTTTGTAGATGTAGAGATTAAGGTTCATGTGTGTGTATGTGTGTGAATGGTGTGTGTACACGTGGAAGGCAGAGGCTGACGTGGATAGCTCTCCACCTTATTGCTCTCACTGAATCTGGAGCTTTTTCTGCTCTTTTACTAGATTAGCTAGCCAGCGAGCTCCACTCCCCCAGTATGGGGACTACAGGTACATGACCTCATGCCTGTATTTCCTGAATGTTTGGGATCTGGACTCAGGTTGTCATGTTTATATAGCTAGTACTTTAACCCACTGAGACCTCTCACCATCCCTGTTACTAATGTTTTTGGTGATAAAGACACAAACATCTAATTTCAAGCCTTGTTGCTAAGGATGAGAACTCTACATGACTGACGCAAAAAGAAGCAGTATACTTACTTGTGAGGATTGTAAGTAAGAAAAGATACTCTGTATATGAAATTACCCCTGAAGGAGAAAAAAGAAGAACAAATCAGGAATAAATTTTCAATGAGCACTATGGAAATAACTAATATTGAAACTTCACCTCCATTAAAAAAAAAATCAACGTTTTTATTCTACCTCTTCGGTATAGTGGAAATCACTGTATAACATGAGTTGAAACACAGCCTCAGTGTCTAAAAAGAAAGACACCATGATTCATCACGTTTTACCTCCAACAAGGAGGTCGTGACAGTGAATCTTATGTGCCAGTTTGAGTGGACATTTTTCTGGGTGTATCTATGAAGGTTCTTCAGCCTATGAGCTGGTAGACACAGCATAGTAGACTGACCTCTTAGTGTGTGGGCATCAGCTAGTCTGTCCAGCAAGATGCTGAGGAGACAAGAACCCAGGCCTGCCTCCCCACTTTCTATATTTGCTAGGGCGTCTCATTTCATCCTCTACCCTGAGCCTGGGACTTCCATTTCTGGCTCTCCTGGTTTTCAGGACTATGGGCTGAGACTGAATCCTATCTCTGGCTCTTGGGTCTCCAGCTTACAGAGGTTGCACAAACCTGCAAGTCACCTGTGGGTTCTGCTTCATCAGACACCACTGACAGATGCTGCTTAGCAAGTAATAGGAATCCAGTAGCATCTCATCTGTAGGCTAAGTAATTTAGACTTAGTTTTTCCTATTTGTAATACCTTGCTTGGTTGAGGGAAATTTAAAATTATAGTAACACAGCTTTGGATATACAATAATCCAAATAGTATTAGTTAAAATGTAACAATTCAATCTTCATTGCAGTAAGTTCTTTTCTCTTTGAGAAACAATTCTTTTTCATTCTCAAACATGCAGTTTGGGTGGGATGCCTTGCTTTTCCTGCAATTTCCATGAGATTGAAGGAGGGATGGTATCTTAATTAGGTTTCTATTGCTGTGATAAAACTCCATGACCAAAAGCAACTTGGGAAGGAAAGGGTTTATTTTTGTTTACAGTTCTATATATTAGTCCCACATATAAGGAAGTCAGGGCAGGAAGTAGAGACAGGAACCTGGAGACAGGAACTGAAGTAGAAGCCATGGACAAATGCTGCTTACTGGCTTGCTCCCTGTGGCTTGCTCAGCCTGTTTTCTTATACCACCCACTGTGAGCTGGGTCCTCCCATGCCAATCATCAATAAAGAAAATGCCCTACAGATTTGCCTATAGAGGCATTTTCTCAATTAAGATTGCTTCTTCCTGAATGACCCTAGCTTGTATCAAGTTGACAAACCAGTAGCCAGCTAAGAAGGGCAAGTGGCTTTGGGCCCAAGCTGGTGAACAGGCTGCAGGAGTGTGGCTCTAGGGACTGGTTCAGGGACAGTTCATGACTGAAGGTCAGCTGCTGTGAGTGGTACTGCATGATTTCTACTGAGAATGCTGGATCACTGACTTGTTCTGTGGAGAGGATGGTGTGTGGACTCGATGAGGTGAGAGTTTTATCTGGGACTATGAGGCCATGGACAAAGGGACTGAAATTGACACAAGACAGTATTCAGAGTTTGAGAGCCCATATTTAACTGGGAGACTTGAAAAATGGGTACTGGGTATGTCTGAGCTCCAAACTGAGGTAGCTTTGGGGTTAGTTCTTATTTGATTACTAAATAAACTTTCTTGTTGGAGTGGTGATGGGTTTTATGTTGCTGCAACGGGAGGATCAAGGGTGAGTGCAGAAGTTTGACTTAACAAGAATGGCTGCTGGAGGAGTTAAAACTCTGTTTGGATCAGAAGCTTGGTATACTGGCAAAATGCACAAGTTACAATTGAACATACTTTATCATGACCAGCCCAACGAAACATAAAAATACACAGAATAATGATACTTAGTTATATATTATTATATTAGATAATGATATAATAAAACTTAGACCTAATAATTATCAACTTGTGAGTCTTATTTTGTCTTTTAATCCCCACCCCTCACTAGATTATTTTGAAACAATTCCTACATATCATACCACTTCAAAGCCTCACAGGTAAATACTCAGATGCCGGGTGCTGACTTCCTAGTCCATCACCAGCTCTCTAGTTACTTGATTTTGGAGCAGTTGTGCTCTCAGAGTGAGGACATATAGTCAGTCCTCAGGTACTTCCTTCTGAAGACTATTCAGTGTTTACATGAAGGGAGTATAAATTCTATGTGTGTGTCATGTCTTGCTCCTGGCACAAGTAAGTGCTCTACTGTTAGTCTGAGGATCAAAGCATTTCATCCCTTGGCAGCCTGGAAAAAGGTAGAAAATAGTGTTTTTCTATATTTCAAAGGAGTAGAGCAAAGGGGGGGGGGAACCTCATTTCTAGATTGTCCTGGGCTTGGTGCCAAAGGAGCCCTCTCTTTTCTCTAAACACAGGTACATGTCCTTTAAGCATAGACAATTTTTGAAAGGAAAATTCCAGTGTCTTTCTCTGAAACACTGACTTAAGTAGAAGGTTTAAATAAACATGGTTGAGAAAGTGTAAAAGCAGCAGCTTGCGCTCAAGATGCATTACGAACAACAGAGAGTCTCCCAGTGCCCACATCTGCCTCAGAAAGTGCTTCTGGAGAGACCCACATCTGAAGGCACCCATAGGAAAACAGCGTAGCGCCTATATCTTACTCTGAATGCTGCTAAATGGCAGTTTCAAAGCTGCATGGTAATAAACAGGGACATTTAAAACAATTTCATTTTATGTGTATTGGTGTTTGGCCTGCGTATGTCTGTGAACCATACACATGAGTTACAGGCAGTTGTGGGCCGCCCTGTGGGTGCCAGCAATTGAATCTGGGTCCTCTGGAAGAGTAATCGGTGTTCTCAACCACCAAGCCATCTCTTCAGTACAAACAGGGAAATGTTTTTAAAAGCTTACCTTCAAAGATTTGATAAAGAATCTTTAAGGGCCACTAGGAGTGATAAGTAAACAGTTCCTACACTTCCAGAAAAATTTTAATGCTGGAACCACACTCAAACACGGTCTATTAAGTAACAGCATTCTAAGAACTGTATTTCCTAAGGAGGCTGGGTTATCTCTTGCATGGGGTTATATTTATATCTTACAGCAATGTGTCTTGTAATTTATGGTCAGAACATCCTTGAGGCAAGTGTAATATCAAGAATCCAGCTCAGTTTAAAAATTCAGAATAATCGTAACTTATAATTTACTTTTCTTTCTAATGCACAGTGAATTATTTCTATTTCATCTTAAGAACATTCTCCCTTTTGTTGGTTATGTTATAAATTCTGGTAGATCTTATATGGGGGAATGAAGTATCTTAAATAGTTCTCTATGCAGTCTTACTAACACTGACAGGGAAGTACAGGTGAATCTTTCCTTCTTCCTTGGAAATATAGATTTCAACAGAAAATTAAAACAAGCAAGCAAAACTCCTGTTAATGTTCCCTCAGCTTTTTCCTATCTGTGATGACTAGATTTCATTATTAGTTAATTCGCCTGACTCTGGAATCCCCGCTGAGATAATGGAAAACGAAGAGAGCATGAGTGCCAGGGTTTATCTCTCTGCTTCTTCCTGGTCACAAATACAGGAAACTAAGTCTGCTGATTTCAGAACACATACATTCCTACAAATTCCCAGTATGAAAACTGTAGGACATTATTACCTCTATTGCACATAGGTTTATTCTGGTGCTGTGACTGGGAGGAATCCAACTGGGAGGCAGTGGTTCTCAACCTTCCTAATGCTGCATCTTTAATACAGTTCCTCATGCTGTGGTGACCCCAAACATAAAATTATTTTGTTGCTCCTTTATAACTGTAATTTTGCTATTTATGAATCATAATATAAATATCTGGTTTGTAACATTTTCACAACCCACAGGTTGAGAACTGCTGTAATAGGGATTACTACCATATAAAGATGATGGGGTAATTTAGTATAAACAATATAATGACATTCTGTGCTGTCTACTGTATCCTGACATACTGAGGTATGAATAGAAATTGACACAAGCAGCTAATGATTAATATTTACTAAAATGTACAGTAGCATGTACACATGTATTTATTTTGTGGTCTGTCAATAAAATGCAGGGCCTCGCACATTAGCCAGGAGTTCTACCCCCCAGTGCTATTTTGAAGACCCCTAAATGTTTAATTTTCAAACCGGCCACTCTTTCCCCACCATGTATGCGTTCCAACTCCCCTGGCAGCTTTCTATTGGCTTAACTTTCTTCTCTCCATCTTCCTATCTAACTTCCTCTTCTACTCTCCTGTTTAGGGTCATGGATAATTAGCCAGACTTTCTCTAGTAGTCAATATTCTTTCCTCCAGGACAGTCCTCTACTTGTCCAGCATAAGCCTGACTTAGTTCAACTGCAGCACCCTACTGCTCCATGTGAGATGTAGGACGATCACACAGCTGACCAGCGGCTCCATTCTTCATGAACTACATCTCTGCTTAAAGCCCCTCACAATTATTTTGTTTCTCTATCAGTTCAGTCCTCTTTCCCTATCATAGACACTTCTCCCTGCCCCCTTTCTCTACTGTTCTGTTTTGTCCAGGCTGCTCCCCAGGACTTGCTACCAACACAGTATATCGGATGGGCATCACCGATTCACTTCTTCTCCTGCTGCAATAAAAGCTAGCCAGTATCATGATGGCCTTTCCCTTTGGCTTTCAAAGACTCCTCTTCCTTCTTTCCAGGATTTTGTTACACTTAACCCTCCTCCCTCTTCTCTCTCATCCATAAGAAATATGCTCACATCTCTCTATGATAACTAACTCACATGTCCTCAACTATTTGTCATTACCCCCAGCTTCCTCCTTTTGGCTCCCCTGCTCATCTCCAGGTCTCTTAACTAGGTTTCATTTAATTTTCTCATGATGGCCCCATTTCTCAAAAATTTACCACATGGCTTCATAACTCACCCCCCCTCACTGATCTGTATCACTCTAAGCATCAAGTACTCAGGACAAAAATGGTGGGCTAGCAGCTGGTTTATGTGAGTGATAGAGAAGGGCCAGGATCAAGCACAGCAGGCTGGATTCCAGAGGGAGAAGGGGAATGGCACCAGAGACCACAAAGGAGTGACAGGACTGCTTGGAGATACCATGGGTGACTCAGCCACACACAGTCCCAGCGGTACAGCTCCAGTGTGTGGGGTGGGGAGCAGAAGCCCATCTGGAAGGAAATGCAGGTGGTCACAGTAAAGGGACTGGCAATATTGCTCACAGCACAGGCCCACAGTTCTCAAAAACCTCAGTCCAGTGTAAGTCTTGGTGAGAAAGCGTGGTCCACAGTGGCAAGAGGTTCCACACTGTCATTCCTCACAACTTGGAGGGCTGTGCCTGGGTGCCACCTCGCCAGGAACCTGTTGTTTAAGACCTTGGGGCCTGAGCACAAGGGATAATTACAAACCAAGGACTCTGTGGCTGGAGGCTGGGGTCGGGCAGTGAGGAATACAGGAAGAAGTCCTGCTCAGATCTCATCTACTGAGAACACTGGAGTCTGACAGCCCTAAGCTTGAGGTCAGTGGGAAGGTCAACCTCAAGAGCCATCTACTTGCCCCAAGGATGCTGTTGTAAAGACTAGGGATTCTGAAGCTATGGGGAACTACCTGTTCCCAGCTGCAGCCCTCCAGCAGGGTGCTTAATACTTTGTGGGTTTGAGAGTGAAAGGGACAGGTCTGTCTGTGCTGTGTTTTCTTCCCTTAGCCTACCAGTATGAGGCTCTTCAGGATAACAGCTAAGTCTCAGGACATGGAAAACCTGCCAGGCCCGCAGTCTGCAGTGATAACCGTGGCCAGCAGGGGGCCCCTATACTCAAAGAACAGAAGCTACCCAAGTGAAGACTGCCCTGGCTGACTTCTAACCCCTTCCTTGTCCTGTCCAGGCTGACATCAGTGTGAATCACAGCAAGATAACAAGTCTGTAAGAGTTCAATGGACAGTGCCCCTGATGCATCCACTGCAGACCCCAGTCCCAGAGTACTTAGAAAGAGCCTCTCTGACACTTCATCTTTTGTTGTTGTTTCCCTTTTTTCTGTTTAGGCTATTCTTTTTATTTTATAAAAGTATTTTGTCTTACTCTAGTATTTTGAAAATTTTATGTGTATGAGTGTTTTGTCTACATATATGAATGCATGTGTACCACTTGCATTCCTGGGACCCTCAGATGTCAGCAAAGGTCACTGGATCCCCTGGAACTAGAGATACGGATGGGTGCTGGGAACTGAACTCTGGTTGCCTGCAAGAGCAAATTAGCTGAAGATTCTTTACTGAATTTCAAGCATCATATCAAATGGACGAATAAGATAGTTACAGAGTACTCTAACATTCTTCTGAACACTTCTCTAAAACAGATCATATCAGAGGCCATAAAGCAAGTCTTAACAAATATGTAAGAAGTAAAATAATTCCTTCAGATGATTGTGCAATAAGGGTAGAAATCAACAGCAAAAGAACCTATTGAAGCTACACAAGCATTTCTATACTGTAGAATGTACTCTAAGGTAACAAATCACTTCGCCACTGAAGAAACCAGGGAGGAAACCTACTGAAACTATACAAGCATTTCTATACTGCACAATGTACTCTGGATTACAAATTACTGGGTCACTGAAGAAACCAGGGAGGAAAGCGCCAACTTCCTTGAATCAAAACAACCAAACAAAAAAACCACCACCAACAACAAAAAAACCACCACCAACAAAAAAACTATCAGAATCTTTGGGATACAGGTAAGACATTTGCAGAGTTTCTAACTATGACTGCTGTGTTAGGAAGCCCCAGTGGGGCTGGGAATGTTCAGTTAGTAAAGCACCTCCTTTGCAAGCACAGGGACCTGGGTTCAACTACCAGCAACCACATATGATAGGAGATGTCCTTCTGTATGCTGTGAATGTATGTTTCTCCTATTGTTTGATGAAGAAAGCTGTTTTGGCCAGTGAACAGGAAGGATTTAGCCAGGCAGGAAATGAAAACAGGGATAGAGAAAGGTAGGAGGCAGGATAAGAGAGATCACCATGTAACTACTGGGAAGAGAGGGACGCCTAGGCATTCTCCAGTAAGCCAAGACCACATGGAGATACACAGATTAATAGAAATGGGTTAATTATTAAGAGGGAGCTAGCCAATAAGAAGACAGAGCCACCGACCAAACAGTGTATAATTAATATAAGCCTCTGTGTTTTTATTTGATAATAAACGGCTGTGGGACCAGGCAGGACAGAAACTTCTATCCACACACATAAAAACCCAGGGTAGAGGAGCATGCTGTAATTGCAGCACTAAGGAGGAGGTGACAAGAGGACCTCCTGGGTTGGCTGGCTAGTCTGGACTAATTGGTGAGCTCCAGGCCAATGAGAAATCCTGTCTCAAAGAGGTAGACAGAGTTCTTGAGGATGACATCATAAGTTATCTTCAGGTCTCCATGAACAATTCTTGCATAAACTCCTGCACATACACTGAAAAACAGTGCTCTCACTTAAAGGTGCATCTAATCTAGTGATAGAAAAACAACAGCAAGACAAACCCCAAAGCAGTAGATAGCAAGAAATATGAGAGCAGAAGTTAATGAGCTGAACACTAAAAGAACAATACAAAGTCTTAATGAAACGAAGTAAGTTTTTAGGAAAATAAGACAGAGAAACTGCTGGTCAAATTAAAAGAGAGGGAGGCTGCATCAATCAAATCATACATGAAGTCAGTGACATCACAACAGAAACCAATGGAATCCAAAGAGCATTTGAAGGTCTACCTTAAAAATCCATATTCCAAAGATACTAAAAGTAGCGAACTCACAGACACAGGTACCCCCTCCCAAAGTTAAATCAAGAAAAATATAATTAGTTTAGAAGGATCAACAACAAGCAATGATACTGAAGTAGTTCTCACAACAGCACCACCAAGACCAGATTCCTTCCTTCATTCTACCAAACCTACCCTGGAAGAGACAACACTAACACTCTTCAAACTACTCCAAGAAGTGTAAAGGTAAAGAACTGCAAAACTCATTGTGAGAAGCTGGTATTAATCCTGACACCAGAACTACATAAGCACCGCAGCAACAGAACACGGCAGACCGATTTTCCTGATAAGCATACAAAAATTCTCAATAATTTGCAAATTAAATTTAAGAATGTGCTGGGTGGTGATAGTCCACACCTTTAATCCCGGCACTCGGGAGGCAGAGGCAGGTGGATCTCTGTGAGTTCAAAGCCAGCCTGGTCTATACAGAGCGAGTTCCAGGACAGCTAGGGTTGTTACACAGAGAAACCCTGTCTCAAAAGACAAACAACAAAAACAAGCAAAAAACAAAACACAAAACCCTTTAAGAACACATTAAGGAGCACAAACATTATGACCATGTTGGTTGTATTCCAGGGATACAAGGATGGTTCAATATATATGTAAATCAAGAGATATGTTACAGACTTAAGGACTGAAATCACATCATCATTTCATTCAGTGCAGGAAAATCTTTGGACAAACTTAGGCAACAGGGTACAGCCCTCCAAAGGCCAGGACTCCAGGGGAGCACCTGCATGCCTGGCCTAAGTTCTTTCAGCCTCTTGAAACATTCTCATGGTTTGCCTCTGGTCACTCTGCCTGGCCTTTTTGGACCTTCATCTCATCTACTTCTCTGCACAGTCCTCCTGGGGGTTCTTTGAGGCCTTGTCATCTCTTTATTTCCACACAGGCCTCATCTCCTTACTCTCTACTTTCCCTCATTCCTTCTCTAGGACTTACCGATGTTCTAGTCATTTATCTTTTTGTTTGTTTGTTTGCTTGTTTTGATTTTTTGAGACAGGGTTTCTCTGTTTTACAGCTCTGGCACTCTGGCTGTCCTGGAACACACTCTGTAGACTAGGCTGGCCTTAAACTCATAGAGATCCACCTGCCTTTTTCTCCCAAGTGCTGGGATTACAGGTGTGCGCCACCACCGCTGGCCTAATCATTTATTTTTAATTTCTTAAAAAAAACTTGAGAAAGTTATCTCTTAACCATTTATTGTGCCATGAAACACTGGTTAAATCACATGGCATAAATATCCCAGTTTAATTATCTAACACTATGTAGTTAAATAAAATATATACATAGAAGTTTAACAATGATTGAAATTACCTTTATCACCCAGGTCTCTAAAAAAAGTTGATCCACAGTGTGCTTTTTGGATTCCTGACAGTACATCCTCGATATCCTTTGAATACACAAATTAAAAATTCCAATTTAAGGTATACAAGTTCATTTTCCAGGTCACCCCAAACAAACCAATAAAAACCCAGCACTGCTTACCTTTCTCGCCAGCTTCTTGACTAGTGTTTTACCTACAACAAAGAAGAACCATGGCTTAGCACTCACCTTTCTTCCCCAAAATCAGACTGCATTAAGGAAGAAAGTAATTTCTAAAATGAACAACACAACCCAGGTAAGAAACAAAGCTGGCGTTTTTAGTCAATACCTCTAATGTAAAATCAGGAGCCAAAGAATTCTGAATCTGAACATGAAGATCAATTTTCAGTCTCACACATGTGAAATGCTACAGTGCATTGATCTGTGCCACACTCGTCCTTTCTTTCTTTGTCTTTTAAGAGCAGCCTTTTGGTTTCACTGATTCAAAGGAGCAATAGGGTAGTTTTGGAAAGCTACCCTGTTCTGGATCCTAGGACGCTCTCTCAAGTGTACCATTTTCCAGCCCAGTTGGAGAGGCGACCAAGACTGTCCCAGTTGCTCTTCATAATGTCTTATTGGACTAGAGATGTGTAGTTCTTTCAGGTTTTCACACTTTCTTAAAAACATTATTATTATTTTGTGTGTGTTGGCGTGTGTATGTCACAGCATGTGTAGGGTATATCAGAGGACAACTTTCAAGAGTCCCCTTTCTCCACCTTACTTAGGAGGCAGGCAGGTCTCTCATGCTTTTGCTAAGGTGTGTACTCCAGGCTAGCTGGAGGCTCTCCAATTTCCACCTCTCATCTCACTGTTGAAGTGCTGGGATGACAGATGTGTGCCATTGCATTCGACTCCTTAGGTGGGTTCCCCAAATTCAGAAAAGATAATAAATGTCAACAAGAGGGAAAAAACTAGAAACAATAAATAGTATCTACCTCAAAATTAGTGATGAATATTACTGTACAGTTGCAGAAACATCTGTCATCATATCTGTGAGGTTACATGTTACTACCCTGTACATTTTTTTTTTTCTGCTGAGCATTATGTGCCTGTGAGTGAAAGTTCTTGATTGTCAGGTGTTATCACTGCATCTCGCCAGCTAGGTAAGTTACTATATAATCTACAACTCTAAGTGTCTGTAAAGTGTGTATAAAATGTAGTAATAGAACGCTGATTACTTACTTGCTCTAGAAAATGGTGCAATAAATATATTTTAACTCTTTGTTTTTGACTGCCGTGGAACATGCTTTGTGCTACAGGTACAAAGCCATCCTTCTGCCTTATTTCATGAGTTTGTGTGTGAGCATTTGGAAAATAATCCCCATAGTGGATTTCCTCTGCCCATGCAATAAGCCAAACACAGCCACATTTTTTTTTTTTGGTTTTTCGAGACAGGGTTTCTCTGTGGCTTTGGAGCCTATCCTGGAACTAGCTCTTGTAGATCAGGCTGGTCTTGAACTCAGAGATCTGCCTGCCTCTGCCTCCCGAGTGCTGGGATTAAAGGCGTGCGCCACCAACGCCCGGCTTAAATCCAGCCATATTAATAAGACCAGATTTAATAAACAGAGCAAAGCAAAGCAAAGCACTTCTGGGTGACTCCCAGAAACAGGAGGCTAGATTACATGGCAGGTCTAGAGGCTGGACCTTAAATACCCTGTAGGCATGGCCTTGAGCCTCTCTCTCACAGGATGAGCTGCCTCTTATTGGGCTTTCTAAGGGGTGGGGTTTGGAGAGGAGGAGGGGCTGAGGCAGAGCTTCCACCTAAGCAGGAAGGTGCCTATGTCTACCACATCACTCAGCACAGAGGCAGGACCTGGTACCAGCCTCTGCTTTATAAACACAATAGGATTAATGTGGGAACTGAATGAAATGCTTCAACTGTCAAAACTGTTAGCATATTCTGGGCACCAAGTAAGTCTTCTGGGCTAACACTTCTTTGTTGTCATATTCCGAAACAGTACAAACTGATGTTGAGGAATGAGCTTTAAAAGTTGAACAGTAAAACTCCTTTCAGTTTCCCACTGAAATAAACACAAAAGTAAAACAGACATCATGTGTGTCTGATAGCTTTTCTTGCAGTCTGAGAGGCACCAGTAGGTGCAACAATGAGTACATCGATGAGCAGAAGAAATGCCTGCAGAACTTAGGAGAGAAGGATGGTAACAGTCTTACATCTTAGGGAGGTGCAGTCTGTCCCAAAGATTACGAAGGACACCTGTTCTTCAAGTAGGAAGTGCAGCCAGTCCCCAGTTGGGGATGGGACCATGATGCATCAGGGGGACAAGTAAGTTTTAAGTTATTGCCACCCTGCAGGGTGACAACTAAGAATATCCTTGTTGGGCTCCATTTCAAGGGTGTGTGCGTGTGCTCGTGTGTTTTCAAAAAGCGCTGAGTGAAAATGTCATATGTCAAGTGACTGTGAAACTGGCTGCTCTTGTACTATCCTCAAGGGCCCTGAGAATACTGATTTTCTGTTCAGCAGGAGTAAGGGAGTACATGACTCCTAGAGTCCTTGGGAGTCTTTGCAGCTGACAGATTTCAACAGTGACTTTAGCATCCTCCTATGCTTTGAAAACTTAGGAATTTTCATGTTCAACACTGCATCCCAGTACAGAACCAGCTTAGGGGTCCGCACCAGATAAAGGGAAAAGGAAGCGCAATGGCACTTTATTCAGTCATAAAGAAATGGTGCCATTTGCAGGAAAATGGGAGGAACTGGGGATCATCATATTAGGTGAATCAGAGCAGGCTCAGAAAGACAAGCACATTTTCTTTCATTTGCAGAAATAGTGAGACATGATTAAAAGAAAGGAAGAGGATGGTGTGGGGAAGGAGAGAGAAGGATGGGAGGCAAACATGATCAAGCTCCCCAACAGGCAGATACGGAAATGCCATCTGTAATTCCCTGCTCTGTACACTGAGTGTGCTATTCAGAAAGGGATAGATGCTCTCCGTCCATCTTTATTACTCTAGGGTAACATTTTGCTCTTGAAATCTAAAACTAGTGCTTCTTGATAAGTGTAATGAAATAAAACAATTTACTATTGAAAAGCTGATAAGAAAATTTCCAGTTAGGCAGGAAACAGAAATCATTAAGATTCTTTGTTTTACCAGACAATTTGATAATACTCTTAAGTCTTGGTGTTTGTATTTAATGATTACAAGTTCAGAAAATTATTTTAGAATCAGTTAAGCAAAGACATATAACTGAAGGAAATTTAAATGCTCCAATATAAGGGAACCAATTAAATTATAGCACACTAATGAAACAATCAAAAAATTTTCAAACAACACCGACAAAGGGACACTACACATTATGCATTAAACAGAAAATGTTAGGTTGGAAAGCACACAGTAGACAATTTGTAAGTAAAAGGGTATGTTTTAAAAGGTAAACCTTATGGCATGTGATTTATATCTCTGCAAAAAAAAAAAAATTACAAGGCTGGGTGGTAGTGGCACATGCCTGTAATCCCAGCATGTGGGAGGCAGAGGCAGTCGGATCTCTGTGAGTTCAAGGCCAGCCTGGTCTACAAACCTACATAGAGAAACCCTGTCTCGAAAAAGAGAGAGAGAGAGAGAGAGAGAGAGAGAGAGAGAGAGAGAGAAAGGATGTGACAACTGGGGAGAGCTGGTGAGGGAAGCTGAAGAAAGCAAACTGGCATAGGACACAAATGACATGGAGCATCTCGGTGAGGCTGAATTTAGTGGCTCCAATCTGTGACTTCCCAGCAGTTTAAATAAAAGGGAGAAAAGCGATAGTATCAAGTAGTTGTCAGAGTGACAAAGTCACAAACCTGTGGCTGCAGGGAAAGAGGAGAAGGAGACCTTGGAATGATAGAGCAGTGAGGTCAGCGGATAGACATACTGGGTAGCAGGTGAAGCGGACGATAATTAATTAGTTGTTGCCAGAGATGCAATGCATGGGATATGAACGGTGAAGACAAACGTCACTGGAAAGAAGTGCAGCAGGAGAGGATTTAAGAAGGGGAGGTGGTGTTCTGGCTGGATAACCTGTGCTGCTAGGAGAGTAAACAGCAGAGATCCAAGCCTGCAGGAACCCAGTGTCTGGGAGTGCTTACATAAGCCTCATCAATTGTATTAATAAAGCGTATTATTAACAAAAGGCCAAAAAGATAAATACCAGGTAAATGAGTTTAAAATCTAATAAATCTTAGATTGCTTTGCATCATTTCATTTACTCAGAGACCACGGGTCAGCGGTTTGGCTCAGTTTTTCTTTGTTTTGCTGTTCATCGTGATCCGTAGGAATGTAACCAAGATTATCTTATCCACGATGAAAAATGAAGATGAAACATCATATGCATAAAGGATGTATTATTTGGCCTGCAAAGTCTTGATTTGGCTCAGTGCCTTATGATGGTTTAACTGCATTCCAATGAATAATAAAAGTAGAAATGTCACAGTCTTTAATCATAGTTTACTGTAGTTCTTTGAACATATTTTAGGGGCTATTTTGATGTCTTTTTCTGTGAATCTGTTATCTGATTGTTGCCCGATTTTGTCCAGTGATGCTACATGTTCTAGATTCTTTGTAGTTTTGTGCTTTTGCTGTTGGGCCCTGACTTTTCTGATGACACACTGTGGGGAATCTGGGTACCAGCTCCTTCCCTGTGGCTCACTCACTGCTTGTGAAAGTGCGGTGTCTGGCCAGACAGTTTTTAGTAAAGACTGTGTCTCACCATACCTTCTAACCGTGCTGAGCACTAGAGGGAATGCCCCAGTGAGGCATGGGATGGATTTGGAGTTGAGCTCCTTTGGAGTTTTGGAGTTCTTGAGTTCCTTCCTGATCTCACTAGGGTGCTGAGTCCAGACAATTTGGCCCTGCTGACTTAATGAGAACCCTAGACACACACTGCTCTAGAGATCATCTTTTGAATTTAGGCTCCCATGAAGGAGTAATTCCCATTGTGAGTGATTAAGATTTGTTATGACCCCTGGAAAGCCTGTTTTGTCTCCTTCCTATGTGTTCTTATGCAAAGCAGCCAGCACATAGGTTGGCCTGTTATCTTCACTAAATCTATCCCTGACCACTCAACTACCTCTTTTCACAACCTGCACCTATTTGTTTATTTTTTGGAAACAGGATTTTGCTTGCTGTGGAGTTCAGCTAGCCTTACATTAGTGATCCTCCAGCCTCAACTTCCAGAGTGTTTCAATTATAGGCATGTGTTAGTGTGCCCAGCTGACCTCTACCTGTCTCCATTTTATGTTAAAAATTTGGAGACTGGGAAGCTACCTATTTCTATCACTCAGCCCAGAGTTCTGCTGCTCTTTCTGAGTAATGCCCAGTCTGGCAAGTGGACCCCAGATCCTCATCTCCTTTTCTGGATACTTTCTCTGCCTTTCCAGCTAGAACAAGATCATCAATCAAGGTGTCCAGTGTTCCCAATGGAAGATCGTGCAAGGCAGAGCCTCCCCTCACAAATAAGGACTGGGTGGGAGAGGGTGTGTCTACCCTTAGCTGCTCCACAGTACTCCACCTCCAGGAGCAGGGCAGGAGTAAAGGTCTAAAGTACCACTCCTCCTAACAGTCCTCAGAGCAGTGCTCCTGCTACTGCAGTCTAGAATGAGCTGGGTGGGGGGTACTCTAGACTTGAACATTTTCCTTTTTCTTTATTTTTCCCTTTAAATTAGAAACAAGCTTCTTTTACATGTCAATCTCAGTTCCCTCTCCCTCCCCTCCTCCCCTGCCTTCTCACTGAACCCCTATCCCAACCCCTTTCTGCTCCCCAGGGTGAGACCTTCCATGGGGGGAATCTTCAAAGTCTGTTATATCATTTGGATCAGGGCCTAGGCCCTCCCCAGTGTGTCTAGGCTGAGAGAAAATCTCTCTATGTGGAGAGGGCTCCCAAAGTCCATTTGTGTACTAGGGCTAAATACTGATCCACTACCAGTGGCCCCATAGAGTGCCCAGACCAACTTGTTGAACATTTTCTTATCAATTTTAGCAGCTTAACTTGAATAGGTATTTCTAAATTTCCTATAAAATCTCAGACTCATTTCCAGTGACTTTAAATGTAGTTCTTCATTTTTCTATGAGTTTCAGTGAGCAATGGGTCTATGGTTCCTTATGCTGCCATAACAGATACTAAGTTTACTCACTCTTACTGAAGCAAATTCCCAGGGTGAACAAAGCCTGCTTTATCCAGTCTCTTACCAGTGGACATGTGGACATTTTCCAGTGCTGCTATAAACACTCTTGCCTATAGCCTATGACACACCAGCAAGTGTTCCTATTGGATGTAAAGTATATATACCTAGGAGTGAGAATGTTGGTAAAAAAAATTCTGTAATGTTTAATTTTGCAAGGCAGTTCCAAGTTGTTTCCTATTTCCAACCTAGAGTATGTAAAAGTCCTTGGAGCTCTCCACCTCTGATCTACAGTCTCCTCAACCTTTGTTGTAAGACTTGTCAATATAACAGGTGTAAAATTGTATCCCACCAGTTACAAACAAGGGAAGAATTTATATTCATTTTCTTGTTTCCTCTTCTGTGAATATCTATTTCCTTCATGTCTTAATAGCTGTACAGAGGCGGGAGGGGGAGAAAACGATCGAGAGAGGAGAGCATTCTTCCACTTAGTCTTGTGGTCATTTTAGGGGTGGGAGCTAGGGCCTCACACATCCTAGGTGAGCACCCTCACCCTTAGGAGGGTCTTCAGTCAGATCTAATGGTCCATTAAGGAGTCTGTTTTTTTTAAATTGACATGTATGTGGAGAAACAACTAAAGCAAGGTGCTTTGATATTTAGACAACAATCAATTTAGGAAAAACAGACAGGACAAATGGATCTCTGGACTAAGGTAAATCCTAGGGACATCAGTAAGAGATATGGGGGTGGGGAGGGTAGAAGCTAATGGAAGCTAAAGGTTACTTCAAAGAACTTGTTAACTGGGGCTGTGATGAATTACTGCAGTCACCAGTCCGGTGATCAAGGCTGTTTTTCTGGCTGTGCTTTGTGAAGGATGTCCCTCTCAAAAGAATCTTTATGGCTTGTTGCATGTGGGAAAAGACAGGCCAAATGGCCCTTTCTGTGGTGACAGTTTCTCCAGTGATGTCACTCTGAAGTAATTACCATGTCACTTGGCATACCCTGAGATGACCTGACCTTCACTCTTCCATGTACATATCCTTTTTTAAAATTGTAGCTTCATATGTAAATATTAACTCTTGTCCATTTTGTGTGTTTTAAATAATTCTGCAAATTTTTAGCCTGTTGTTTTAATTTCTTTAGGGCAACTTTTGGTGAACAAAGTTCTATTTTAATATGGCTGAATCTTGTTCTTTTGGCTAGTACTGTCTTGTTTAGGAAATGCTTCTCTATCTCAGGGAGACACACACACTGTTCAAAGGAGAAATGAAGTAATGTTAATCACTGGAGACTCAAACACACATATTAGTCACTGACAGGTAGCCAAGCAGGGTGCAGCTGAGCAGAATAGCACTCTCAGTGAAATCTATTGACTCTCATAAGATATTCATCTTTTGTGAGAGCAAACTCTGTTTGGCTGTAACAGTCTAGAATGAGTTTCTGTAACATAGAACTGGGATTGGCAGGGAGGGTAGGTCTTGTTTTTAGAAGTATTTATTTTATGTAAGGTGTGAGTGTTCTGCCTGTAATGTATATCGCATGTGTGCTTGGTTCCTGTGGAGGTCAGAAGAGGGTACTGGATCCCCTGAAATAGGAATTATGGATAGTTGTGAGCCACCATGTGGGTGCTGGGAAACTGAACCTGGGTCTTCTAAAAGCACAACAAGAGCTCTTAACTGCTGAGCCATTTTTTCAACCCCGAGTTCAGTTCCTTGTACCTATGCTGACAGCTTACAACCACCTGTGACTCTTGCTCCAAGAATCTGAGGCTTCTGGCCTTTAGGAATCTGCCCTCTGGTGCACATCCCCACACTTAAAAATATTATTATATATCTACCTGTACATACCATGACACACATGTGAGGGTCAGGGGACAAATTTGTGAGTTGGTTCTCCTTCTCCACCATGTGGCTTGGCTTCGAAGGGTTGAAGAACTGAGTGCTCTTACCTGCTCCTCTTCAGGAGTTTTAATCTCTCAAGTTGGTCCATACTCAAGATTCTAGCAGCTAATCAATTATTCTTTAAGTATCTCGGGCATAAAGTCCTGGTAGATTCCAGGTGGCCTCTGATCTGAGCAAGTCCTGACAGACCCTCTGGATCTACCTGTCTCCAGTTTTTAGGTCAGGGTGCCCTATGACCACAATTCTGTTGTGACCCTTGATGGACCTCAGTTAATGATTTTACATTTTTCAACTTTTTTTCATTTTCTGCTGTGAGAACAGGATTGATAATGTCCAAGTTCTGTTCATGTCAGAGGTTAAACTACTTCAGTATGTATGTATGTATGTATGTATGTATGTATGTATGTATATATATATGTATGTATTTTTGAGACAGTGTCTCAACTATGTAGCCCTAGCTGTCCTGGAACTCACTCTGTAGACCAGACAAACCTTGACTTCACAGAGATCCATCTGCCTCTGCCTGAGTGCTGGGATTAAAGGTGTGTGCCACCACATCTGGCCCAAACCACTTTTTAAATCTTTGCTTAGTATCTTACTGTATCAATGTAGGTCAACATTCTTAAAGTTTTGATACATACTGCTAAATTTCCATCCATGGGGCTTTATTAAAATAATCTAAACACATTTTTATTACTTTATTTTCTAATTTCCAAACCTTCATTGTTCCCTCAAGATGAAGTCCACACAGTCCTGCCAAGTACACATTCCTTGGGTGGGTGAGCCGTCACTGAGATCTTTTGTACAATCTAGCCCTTATTTGTTCTTCAAGGTTATCTCCAAGAACTACCCCAGGCTCTTTGTCTCCAGTGACTGGTGGACTTCCTGTCCCCAGAACGCTCCATTATGTCCACTCTGCCTTTGCCCGGCTTGGTCTTTCCCAGTGCACCCCATCCTGCTGCCTGTCCATAAGCTGACTTTCAGAGAACCCAGCATTTGGTTACGTGTCAGCATGAGGAGCTTTACGGCACAGGGGGCACACACAGCCCGGTGCAGTGAGAGGGGTTGGTTCAGGTGCTACACCTCTGCCATCATGGGATAACTGCAAGTCACTGTACTTTGTTATTTTAATTTTTGGTTTTTTTTTCTTCAGGATTTTTCTACTTACAGCATAATAGCATAATAACTCTGATAAATGGCTCTCCTTAATAATTAATCTAGTTTATTTCTTCCCTTCAATTTAAAAACTTCAATTCTACCAAAAACTAATATCCAGTCAAATTATTAAGTAATCTCTTTAGTGGAATTTTAAAAACTCACTTTTTTTTTCATTTAGAAAAATGCACATAAAACAACTACTTCTAAGACAGAAAATATGAAAGTTTACAACTGTCACATCATAATAATAAAATGGAGACTACAAGGAATGGTGATAATCCAGATGCAAAAAAGCTTTCACTAATTTTGAAAACAGGTTTTTCAATGCTCATGTTTAAGCTTAAAAAACAAACAAACAAACAAACAAACAAAAAACAAGCACTCACGCTCCACTTGCTCAAACATTACTGAAAAGAGGAAGTCCCGGGGTGTCATGTAATATTCTCCCTCATGCTCCAGGGATGAAAACTGCATGAACCGCTGTTTACGCAGAGAAAGTTTTTCCACTGGTCCCAAGTCATTTTTCTAAAAGAAAAGAAATAATAATTAAAAATTTTTCAGTATGACTTCCAAACTCAGCTACCTCTAGAATACCTTTAAAGAGTAAGTTAGGTCTCATAGTCCCCAAAGTTCACCTTTAGCCATTAATAAATATCAACTAAGTCCCTACGTTTTTAGGCACTGAAGTTAAAATACCAATTAAGACTAATTGGAGGGAAGTTACCTCCAAGTGGGAGAATGACATTCTCAAATGAGTGTATAAAGTCACTGAGATGGCGGGAAGTGACACTGAACACAAATGGGAGACAGTGGTGACAAGTCTCTTAGGTAAGACAAGGCAGTCTTTTGAAGCAATGACGCTTACAGAGGCCACACAAAGGGTTATAGTGAGTCCTGTTGTTAGGAGGAACAAGCCTGATGTCTTAAGGAGGAGCAGAAGGTCACGGTCACCTTGGTGACAGGAAGAGAGTGGTGGAAGTCACACCAGACAGATGTGCTAGCACGAGGGGCTCAACTATGAATAGCAAAGTGCAGAGGATACACAGGGCTCAAACACTGCTGCTGGTGCTGAAATCTCCTAGGCCCCAGGGCTGAGCCTTCAACAGTGGAGGACAGTGCTGAAATAGCCTAAGCTTTCTTCTGTTCCACTCAAGGCATTCAGCCTCCAGCTCCCACAGTATGGGCCTTGTGCTGCACAGACTGTGGCACACAGGTGACAACAGTGTAACCAGTGTGGAGCCTCGAGGTGAGATTGTGGGGCTCTCACCCTAGACAGCACCAATCCCAGATGCACCCTGATGAACAGGTGATGCAAGGTGACTGCTGACTCAAAACAAACAGGAAGAAACACGAATTCTGGCTGCTCACACCTCTTCACATTCAAGGCCACCAGAGGCTTCTTCCGGTTGATGTGAGTCCCTAACTAATTCTCCTCCCTGAAGTAGGCAACAGGCTTGCTGAACATCCAGCTTCCCTCCTTCTGCATTCTATTCAGTGCCTACAGAGTACTAACAGCACACACAATGCACACCAATGCTACAGTCTCTGTTCTTTCAGCTCTTTGCCCGTAAACTATGACTCTGAAAAGGACTCAAGAGGTGGGGAGGGAACTCAGTACCTTGCACAAGCTGGGAAAGCACTACCCTGACCTATAACCCCAGTCCAGGGGCAAGTTTTAATTACATGTATCACACTCATCCTAGCAACCAGAAAATGAACCACAGTAATACTTTCTGAATGTTATATTTGAAGCAGTATATATATAGTAAAACATCAGCATTTATACATAGCAATAGACACACCGTTGTATGTCCCCCCCCCCCCAGACAGCGTTTCTCTGTGGCTTTGGAGGCTGTCCTGGAACTAGCTCTTGTAGACCAAGCTGGTCTCGAATTCACAGAGATCCACTTGGATCTTGGATCTTTTCTTAACAAAAGAAAAAGCAATGGCAAGTCAGACAAACACTAATTTCTGAGGAAGTCCTACGTGCTTTGACAGAGAATTTATAAAATGTGTACAGCCAGGAAAGGGAGGATGGATTGGAGCAAAACCAGGAACCTACCTGTATTTGCAAGAAAAAGGCCAAACATGAGCACGTCACGATCACGAAGAATTTGAAATGCATTGTAACTAATGTTAACTTACTGTCTATTAAGAAAATAGCAAAATTAATAATTACAAGAGAAAAAGTACATCTTTAAATCCTGAAACATTACTGGTGTTTTTCTAATTTCTGCATCAAAGTTGTTAAAATGTCCTTTTTTTTTAAAAGAAGATTTTATTTATTATTATGTACACAATTATCTGCATGTATGCTTGCACATCAGAAGAGGGCACCAGATCTCATTACAGATGGTTGTGAGCCACCATGTGGTTGCTGGGAATTGAACTCAGGACCTCTGGAAGACCAGCTAGTGTTCTTAGCCACTGAGCCATCTCTCCAGCCCTGAAACTTACTTTTAAATATACAACACAGTGGCTTGTGCCATCAAAATGGAGTCAGGCAGGTTCCTCATTCTCCTAGGTGGATCTCATGGGCACAGGTCTGCATTCAGAAAGCTGTTCAAGGGATCAAGCACTTGTCTCCACTGGAAATCGGGTTATTTCTAGCCTTACAGATTATACTTTGAAAGAACTCCAGGGTTCTGGAGCTTAGCCATTAAATGTACTGACTGCTCTTCCAGTGAATCCAGGTTTAAATAACAGCACCCACACAACAGTTTACAGTAGTCTGCAACTCCAGTTCCAGGGGATACAGCACCCTATGTAACTTCTTTGGGCCTCCAGCTCAAAAAACAGACTTATTAAAGCTGCTCCTATAGCTTAGGCTTGTTTCACTAGCTCCTATAACTTAAATTAATGTTTTGCCTAGTGGCTTTTCACCTCTCTTCCATCTTGCACCTCCTGTTTCCTTCCATGTCCTCTGTTGTATCTGTTTGGAAGTTCTGCCTAACCTCTTCCTGCCTGGCTATTGGCTATTCAGCTCTTTATTAAACCAATCAGAAGGTTCCTTGGCAAAGAC